TAGTATCGCTTATCATCCGTAGACTGATGGACAGACTGAAAGAGTCAATCAAGTACTTGAAGATATGTTAAGGTGTTGTGTCCTTAACTATTCCAATAAGTGGGATGAATGCTTACCTTTGGCTGAGTTCTCATACAACAATAGTTATCAGAAAAGCATTAGAATGGCTCCATTTGAAGCACTCTATGGTCGTAGATGCAGAACATCGCTGAGTTGGTCTGAGCCCGGAGAAAGAAGGTTCTTTAGAGTTGACCTTGTGAAAAAACAGAAGACAAAGTTAGGCAAATACAAAGTAATTTGAAGATAGCTCAGTCCCGACAAAAGAGTTATGCGGATGAACGACGTAGACCATTGGTGTTTAACAAGAGAGATTTTGTATATTTGAAAGTATCACCAATGAAGGAAGTTACCCGTTTTGGTGTTAAAGGCAAGTTGGCACCTCGATATATTGGACCATTTCAAATTCTAGAGAGGTATAGAAAGGTGGCATATCGTTTGAAATTACCAGAATATCTCGCAGCTGTGCATGATGTGTTCCATGTTTCTCAATTAAAGAAGTGTCTCCGAGTGCCTGAGCAGAATGTTGAGGTTGAAGGAGTGAAACTTGAACCGGATTTGACCTATTCTGAATATCCTATCCGAGTTTTGGATCAGAAAGATCATGTTACTCGAAGGAGGACAATTAAGTTCTACAAGATACAATGGAATCAACATTTCGAAGAAGAAGCTACTTGGGAATCCGAAGATTACTTGTTAGAAAAATTTCCAGAGTTTCTTGCGTCCATATAGAATGATGTTAGTTTTGCTCGGTTGGTACGAATAATGTTTGTAAAGGAACCTCAGCTATTTTATGTACAAGTTTTGGATGTTTTTGGATTGACACATTTCCTTTTCCATTACTTACCCTATGACTTTGAATCTCGGGACGAGATTTCTTTTAGGGGGAAGGATTGTAACACCTCGGGTGTTTTAAATACTAAAACAGGACATGTCATCATATGCATTGCAAGGCATTTGGTCTTATTACAAACTTTGATATGCATTCACTAAAACAAGTTGACATTTATGTTATGAGTGTTGACTTATATGGTTTGAATTAAGTTCAAAGTGTGGTTTGGTTTTGAAGTTTCGAAAACCCTGATTTCCAGCGATTAGTTTTGACCCGAAAAACCCATTTCAAAATTGGAGCACATTTTGGGGTTGAGCCTTAAAGCAAAAGTGTAGAGTTTGATGAGTTGTACAAAGTTGGTTTTTGGAGTTTTTTAAGTTGTTTAGAAAAATTTGAAGTAATTTGAAAATGCGAAATGTACTTAAAGTGTCCCTTTTTAATTCAAATTTGCATTTCAAAATATAGACCAAATTAGGGGGTGGTTATAAAAGCAAAGTTGTAGAACTTTGAATTTTGAACAACTTTTATTTTTGGAGATTTTTGAGTTGTTATATAAATTTGGGAGTAATTTAGAAATTTTGACGAATGGCAATTCTGTAAATACGTTGAACAGTGCCAGCAGGCAGGTGTCACCGCCGGTGACCTTCCTCAGGCTTCCGGTCGTGGCCATGGCATCTTCAGCGTCGCGCTGGCGTGGAGAGGGCTCCTGCGTGGCTTCCTTATGCTTCTGAGCCACGCTATTTAGCCTAAGTCGTCGCCATTCTTCTCCTTTCTTCTTCTCTGCTCTTCCTGTCGCCACCGTCCAACTCCGGCGAGTCGTGTCTTCGCCGTAGCTCCTTTCTTGTCTTAGCAAAGCATACTATAGCTCCGCCTACTCCTTGCGAAACTAGCCAACCGGTCGTGGTCGTCTGACTTCGCCGAATTTCGCCGTGCGACGTCTTTCTTCCTCGTGGCCGGCAGCACCACCGTTGCGAGCGCTTAGCCATGGCTGAGGCTCTCCGGTGAGCCGCTGCTCTTGAGAATCCTTGTTTCAGATTCACCTTGTTGCCGTGAAGCTTTGTGACTTGTTGCTTGATCATTTCATCCACTGTAGTCGTCGGAACACTGCCACCGACGACCGTTGCTCCGCCGTGGCCGCTGTGACCGTTGACCCAAGTATCCGTTGCTTCTCCGGCTCGGCCAGCGACTCCAGTGTGTTTGTGGTGAGCTCCTGGTTCTACCCGAGTTGTTTGTTTCATCGTTACCGGCTTCCCTTCGCCGGCATAGCGCAGCCACGCCGTTGTGTCTGCCATGGCCGTCGTCAAGCTTGTTTACCGCTGCAATTAGTCTCGATAGTACACTCAATCGATGCAGGGTGATGAGGGGAGTGTGTTGGTACTCTCGCTGTCGCTGTTGGTCTCACCGTCGGCGAGTTTTCGTCGGTCAGCGCCGTCGTCGCCGTAGTCAAAGGCCGAAGGTCGGGGATGACATGTGGGGTCACCCTGTCAGCGACTGTATAGTTCAAAATGAATTTTTCCTTTTTCAGAAATGGATGAATAGTGTATGTTTTTGTTATTTTTGTGTAGATTTATTTAGAGCTCCAAAAATTATGAAAATTTTTGTGTGACTTCTCTATGATGTATATTATTTAAGAAAAATATGAAATGTTGTTTTTCAGTACTTTTTGAATGTGATAAAAATTGCTCAATTAATTAATAAATGAGTTTCCATGATTTTTTTAGGCTTAATTATTTATCCAAAAATTATGAAAATTGTTTTGCCACTTAGTTATCATGAGATGAACATGTACAAAAAAAATTTGGGCTCAATTGGAACAAGTTGATTTATTTCATAATTCATAATTAATTAATTAATTCATAAAAGTAAATAGTAGCCTTTACTGATTTAGGTTTTGTTTGAATTTTTGATTGAGTGATGTCCTTGGGTCATTAGTTGGTAATGATCCTTGGCAATGGAATTAAGTGTTACGAAAAAGGTTTAGTTAGTTTGACTTGTAACTGTACCGCGAAGGAAAGTTGTATTCAAGTTGTTAATTTTTACATCCATCATCAAGCATCATGTTTATATCTCGCATCATGTTAAACATGGCATTGTTACTATATGTAGTGAACGAAGGTGAGCACGTGGTAGTTAATCAAGTGGTTGAGGAGGTTAATCCGCCTGTTGAGGTCGGATTTGATAATTGTGGAACGCCCTGAGAACCGAATTTTTCCGTCAACGAAGACAAGCCCCGGATGCATTTTAACTTACCTTGTGATTTACAAAATGATTTTGCTTTTGCTTTTCTTTAATGCATTAAGTGGTTAGGAGTTAAGTGAAAACCTAACTGGTGCATTACCAACCTTGTTTTTCCATATCTACCTTGTTACCAGTTTTAATCCGTATATGGCTAGTTATGCTTAGTCATGTTTAGACAAATAAAAGTCAGGTGATTACCTGTCACCTGCGAATTTTAAATGGATCTTTGGTTACGAGTGGTTACTTATGTGATCATGGGATATGAGCATGTGAAGTAATAAATGTAGACTGGGCGGACTCGGTGTGTGAGAGCCACAGGACATGGAGGTCCTGTGAGCGGGTTCTTTCCGCCTGTGTCGATTAAGGTCCATCCGTTGTTGAATTGCATGAGGTGAGACTTTGTAGTACTAACCACATACTCCGGTAAGCCTTAACTTAACTATTCTATTACGAGAATGGCTACTAGCGCACTGGGAGTGGAGAGATGGCGGGAATAGCGTGTACCCACGTGGCAATGGGCTGGATTGGTGGAGTACTGTATTCTCGGGTGGCGCGGACCCGTTCTTGTTTTAGAGGATCCGATGGTAGGTTGGTATATGTAGGTCGGGGACCTGCATATGTCGTGTGGTCTGGAATCCCCAGCTGGGTTATAATCGGTTCGAATCGTCGTTGCTTCTCGGTTATGGAGACTCAACTCACTCTTCATCATCGTAGTTAATAACTGGAACTTGATTAAGCTCTGAGAAAGAGTTTGATATGAAGTTCATGATCTCATTACGGATCGTGGCAGATTCATATATGGTTCTTGTGAAGTGTTAAATGTTGAATTAAAGAATTTTGTTAAACATGCTTTTACGCAAAAGAACTTTGATTATTGCTAAAGCCATACCTTGAATCCCTAGCCTGCATTCCTGCGTCTTATCAACTTTTATTTCGGTTAAGTCTTGTTGAGTACTTTTGTACTCAGGGTTCGTTGACCCTTGTTGCAGGTGAGGTTCATGAGCAGATTTGTTGTGGATCGTGCTGCATGACTGTTGTTCAATGCGATGACGATAAATAATTGTGTGGCCCTTGGGCAGGGCAACTTATTTGTGTGTTCTGTAATATGTTATAATGCCACTCCACTACTACGTTTTGTAATATTAATCGAACTTAGTTGTATGGTTTGAAATAAATGGTTTGTAAACTATGTTATTGTAAGTCTTCCGCTATGTTTTACTCTGGTGTAGATATTTGAATAAATGTTGTAATACTGTAATGACTCTGTAATGTGATCCTGCTCGGAAATCGCTATGTTTTAAAAATATTTTAAAGAAACACTGAATTTATCTAACGTTTTGTGCAAAAGTTCACCAATTCCTGCTTTCTACTTCCCAAAGTAATGTGATGCAGCATCTGCATCTCTATATAAACCGTCATTGTAATTTTTCGTGAGAAAATCCAATAAACCAAACATCTAAGCATTTGATGAAATTGTTATTCTTTTTTCAAAAAAATACTTGCACAAATTAAGCTCTCACAAAACATTATAATATGATAGAAAAAAAATCAAATATCGCCCGTGGACTGGAAATGAAAAGGCAAAGGAGCCCACAGCCCCACACCTTCCAATTACCAGCACAGAATACAAGCCCAGAACTGCCAGCCCCCCCCAAAGCCCAAAGCGCAACCCTCGTGAGGCCGTGATCTTCTAAGGCCCAGGTGTCTGTTCCCTTCCCCACGTCCCCGAGTCGAGCGAGTCGCCGCCAGCAACGCACCACGCCGCTCACAGGCTCACAGCGCTCTCGCTCCCGCCTTGCTATCCCTTAACCCTAGCCGCCGCCGCCGCCGCTTAAACCCTCGCCGCGCCAACCGCAGCAACCTCCCGCTGGCGATGGCGAAGGAGAAGAAGCGGAAGCAGCCTCCCACCGACGCGGCGCCGCCCCCGGGCGACGAGCGCGAGGGGAGGAGCGAGCGGAAGGGCAAGAAGGCCAGGAAGGAGAAGGCGGAGGCGATACTGCCGTCGCAGATCAAGAACAAGGACAAGCGCCGCGAGGTGCACGCTAAGCTTAAGCGAGAGAAGAAGGCCCAGAAGCGCGCGCTCGCCCGCGAGCGCGGACAGGTCGTCCGCCGCGCCGAAGAGCTCGGGGAGCAGGCAAGCGAGCGCTCTTCGAACTGCTCATGCCACCTGTAGAGCTTGTAGTTTTTGGTTCGGTTTGGTTCTGATTGCTTCGGGTGTTTGCAGCCGCCGGAGAGGCAGGTTCCCCGGACAATCGAGAACACCCGGGAGCCCGATGAGACTGTGTGCCGGCCCGACGACCAGGAGGTCCGTATATCATTCTTGATGACACCATGCTTACATAACATTATAAGTCTGCGTAAATACCGACTGATATGCTTAATTTAGTGCAGAACTAACAAACACAGTACTTGTGGGGATCCATATTTAGGTTACTAATGCCCATATGTACTCTAGAAAAAAACTATGAATGTCAAATTAGTAGTGACAATGTTTACAGAATGAAAAGTCACAGCTGAAATGAATTGCAAAGCATAAGAGTGACAATGAGATCATTTATATTGTAGGACAACTAAGACTTGCTTTCCTTGTCCTAATGATCCAGTCTAGTTTGGATGTGCATCACCATCTTATGTACCTGACTGCACTTTTTCATCTTTCTCTTGTTGCTAGTAATTTGTTAGCTTAAGCTCTAAGCTTTTCTTGTGCATTGTGTCCACTGTTCAACTTGATTTTCTTCGGGATGCTCAAAAAAAAAAAACTTGATTTTCTTCGGGGATGCAGTAACACTCTCTTTTGGAAACTATTAGGAACCTCTATTAGTCTATTATGTCTTTGCGGATGAATGCTCATTTGGATCGCTGTGTCAATTTTACTCAATCTAAAGTTCTGTATTCAAATTTTGGGATTGTGTTCAATGATTTACTTAGACCACTATTTCAACCCAGCCCAATTTCTAGATTTGTGAATTATGGAATAACTTTTCATGTCTGCAGCTGTTTGCAGGAAATGATGCGGATGAATTCAATGCAGTTCTAAAGCAGCACATAACCCCGAAAATATTGATTACGACATGCCGCTTCAATTCTGGGGTATTTATTTTCTATGCTTATCCCTTCTCTCCATGAATTTCTACTCCATATCTTATTCTGCTGATTTTCAGTTTGTGATGATTTCATGTTTTTATATTCTTCCTACAACATTGCATGATTTAACAATATACCTTCTGCTGCGTATATCCAGAGGGGGCCTGCATTTATTGACGAGTTAATGCAAGTGATACCGAATTCCCATTATATAAAAAGGGGAACATATGAACTCAAGAAAGTATGTCATTTTACGGATTTAATTTTTAATTTAATTGGTTCAACAAGGCACCTTTATAAATTCATTCAAACACATTTGTTTTCAGATTGTGGAATATGCAAAGAATAGGATTTCACCTCACTTATTGTTGTCCACACAAATCGAAGGGAACCTGGTATGAATTCATCATATTGGTGCTAAAAGTTCTTGAACTTCATCTTGCTTGTGACATCTGGTTGGTTTTTATGTGCCAGATGCTCTACTTATCATTGGGCTACCTGATGGCCCTACGGCACATTTCAAACTATCCAAACTTGTTCTTCGGAAGGACATAAAGGTACTATATCTGTTGTTTGGTGCTATATTTCGTGTACTTATTATTGTTGGTTCTATAATTTGTTTCCTGCATTTTGTGGTCATCGCAATGTAACAGTTATGTTTTGGGAACTTTTGTTGAATTGAAATTTTTTGTGGATGCTCATGCCTACAATTTACAAAGAACTTGTTGTATGGCTTGAGCAGCTGATCCATTTTCAGCCTGAAAAAAAAGCCTGAGCCTGTGATGAAACCTTATAAAAGATAAAAATATTACTATCTTGTTAGTTTACATTATTAGGAATATTTATCAGACTCCAAATAATAAAAATTGCAATATTAACCCTGACCTCAGGGAAAAATCAGATCAGACCAGTTTGCCCACGAACCTTTAGTTTTTTTACAGAATTGTGGAAATGGGGATTGAATTTTGGTGCCCTTATCACAAATTAGGCCAAAGTAATGTTAGTTGGTCATCCAGTGGATTTTTACATGAATTGTTTTATTGTCTCTATTCCCCAAACAGTTTCTCTGATATTTTAGTTGGAACATCCTATGATGTTTTTTTTTGGTGTCGTGATCTGCTAAGCATTATAGTAAACACTTGTCAGAGACCACAATAAACTTGTATGCAGTAGATTGCTCTTGTTCCAGACGATCTACATGATATTGTGTCTCCACTCTACAGAAGTACCTAGATTGTTCCTAATAAGCCCTAGCTAAACCCCTTCATGTTTGAACTCCCAGTTTTATGTTATGTAAGGAAGGCAATGTGGATCTCCACAATGCTATGTTTGATACATAGGCATATTAGCAAAGAGGTCATGCATGGCAGATGGCACAAAGATGAACGATATTGAATTATTTATTCAGGTGGTTCATATAGCACCTGAAATGGTAAAGCATTGAGGCATGACCACTTTGACATGATTTCACAATCAACTTTCGAGACAAAAAGGTTGTCCCTAGTTTGCCTTAGCCATATGAGTTCTGTGCCCAAAAACCAAACTATATGGCTATGATTGGTGTCATATGGCATGTCTGCTTTAGGTTGGTCCATGTCTCTTTCTGACATGCCATGTCCTTGTTTTAATTTTCCACGCTTTACAGTGTTGTATTGAATTATTGCATGGATGAAGTTGGTTAGTAACTGTTTAATGCCTTCTAGATTGATGTAAAGAGATGAAAGTTATCTTACCTGGAGGACATGCTGCCTCTGGATTTTTCTAGCTAGTAGCACATTGTATGCCAAGATCTGTTTGTTATTTTTAGTGTGATCAGTGTGTTTATTATGCTCTTAAATGGCATTTGGTCATCCAATTTATCTTTTCTATATGTTAAGTTAGTGAAGCAGAACCCTTTTTTGTGCATGGAGTGTACCTGGACATTGTACAGTATGGAGCATTTTTTGTTATGTTGGTTTACATTTTTGTCTGCTCTTTATATTACAGAACCATGGCAACCCTACAAGTCATAAGCCAGAGCTAGTATTGAACAATTTCACTACACGCCTTGGTCATCGTGTTGGAAGGTGATCTGAAACATATACCTCTTTTTTTTTAATTTATTTATGAAAGGCTGCTGCCTCTTTCCAGTAGTTTGCTAGTTTGGATTCTCTGTTTTTTTTTTCCTTACATGTCTTTCTTGCCTCTTTCATTCTTCAGGATGATGCAATCTCTCTTCCCTCAAGACCCCAATTTCCGTGGGCGCCGTGTTGTGACCTTCCATAATCAGCGAGACTACATATTTTTCCGTCATCACAGGTGCGCATATAAAATGCAATTAGGATAGGGGCTTTGTGCAGAGAGTTGTGTTTTGCAACTGCTGTACGCTGGGTGCCTGGGTGTATGTCTAGTTATCTATTATCTACCTTTATGAAAAATGGTTAATTTTTAGTAAACACAAATTTGCTATTGCCTAAGCTTATAGGCAAAGCTGATTTTTGCGGAATGACTTTTAGTGCCTGGTAATTATACAGCCAGCATTTTAACCTTTGCCATGGACCGCTCATACTAGGTACATCTTCGAGACAAAAGAAAAGAAGGTTGCTTCGAAGGACAAGAAGGCTAAGACATCTGAAAGCAAAACCGAATCTGAGAAGCAAGTGATTTGTCGCCTTCAGGTAGGTCAACTTCTACTCCACCAACAGTTTTACTGTAAGCATTTTCATTTATGTTTCAGAAATCAAGCGGCCTTAAATTGTCAACTGGTTCAATTGTTGATTGCGCACGATCAATTTGTGCTTCATTTCTTTAGAAAAAAATATGTTGCCACAGCAATATCCACGATGCATCATCCTGAATACACGAACATGGGGTTGAGTATGTTTCCAGGCTAGCCATTCCTTTCTCCAATGCCTATCAATGGCCACTGTTTATTATGATATATCTGTTTTTACGATATCACTATCCTGCCAGTTAGATGTTAGGGAACTCCATCTCTAATCCTCAGCAGCAGCTAAAGCCTAAAGGAGCTCACTTTAGATCTTGGCTGCTCTCTCTGCATTATTAGCACCCCCATTATCTGTAGCAGTAAAGCCCCCAAACTGTTTTGTGATGGCACAGGAATGTGGACCTCGCTTCGTTCTAAAGCTGCTCACCTTGCAACATGGGACCTTCGACACGAAAAGTGGGGAGTACGAGTGGGTTCACAAGGTACTACTGTTCGCCGTTGATTTATTTACCATGTCACGTCCACCCCTACAACTCCATGTGATGTTCTTCTGACATGTGCGCTTGATTTTATGCAAATCGACCACAGCCGGATATGGATACGAGCAGGAGGAGATTCTTCTTGTGATGGAGATCGTGGCTGGAGACCTGGTGTCCAAGTCCGACCTGGTGAAAATGCTGCGATCGTTCTTGTTTTTCTTAAAAGAAATCTCTGTAGAGAGGATGCTTTGCATGTAGAATCGACAATCGCTTGACGCCTGTTGAAGCAATTTTGTGGATCCATCCATTGATCAAGTAATACGAAGTTCTGTTCCTGTCGAAATTTCTGTGTGAAATGTTGCAAAAGGCGCGCTTCGTTTCTATCTGATCCCAGGACTCCGGTTTCGGCGCGAGATACTGGGTGGGAATCAATGCCACGCAAGGTCGCCGTCACGCATCCAATCCAAGAGGTGGATTGCATTACGCGACACCTAATTGTTTCACACCCTCCAATCACCATCAAACGACTTATCATCGCCTGCCCCCATGTTGGTGTTGCTGCCCGTGATCGAATTCCTTTTCCAGCCCGAGGCTACGAACGAAGTCTACATCTCCATGAATGATCTGAGCTGTTGAACTGGGATGCGTTTTCCGAGAAAACGAAACAAATCTGAGCTACGAGGAGAGGAGAAGGGCAACGGTGCCTGTAGCAGCAGCAGTTGAGGGCACACATGACACATGGATGGGGGTCCATCTCCATCCCAAGCAGAAGCAGCACTGCAGAGGCTCCCAGGCCAGGCAGGCGATGGGCGAACGTACATCCGTGCAGGGCGGGTCGTACGACAGCGCGTGCGGTCTGCCACCCTAGCGGCTAGCGCTCAAACTGAGCTGGCCTGGGCGGAGGCCCGTGGCCGCGCGAAGCCGCCCGATGAGATGCCAGGGCCGCCGGCCGCGTCAGTTATTGCCACCCGCCTGCTGCCGCCCCCTGTTTCTGCGGTGGTCCGGCTCCTTCGGGTCCTTCCGGCCCCCGCACGCACTCGGGCGTCCCGCGGGCACGAGCGCCCGCACATGGGCTGCCCGGCCCCCGGCGCCATTGCCATGTTACCTGGCCTGCCCGGAATTCAATTCACCTGCAGGCAGGCTGCAGGAACGGACGGACGGACGAGGAGGACCGTCCTCTGGTGCTGCTCCAGTGCATGCAACGATGCAAATGGACGGTTTTGATGGGATGGATGATGGATCTCTCTTATGATGGTGATGATTCAACCCGGCCGGCGGCTGGGTTCAGATCGAAGTGACGCCATACCAGCAGATTATGATTTATGGCAGCAAACCCAGCGGATAATGCAGCTGAGCTGAACAAACACCGCCGGCCTCGGTTGATCGACCTGCACGGGTTGTCATGCACAGTGTCGACTCTGGATTTTGCTTGCATGGCCTACCCTACTTGCACGTACTGCTACGTACGTTAGTACGTAGTACAGCTGTTTCACGAGTACTCCTACGTACGTATGGATTTATATATATCTGCAGTGGATATATTGAGAGCCTCGTCAGCAGAATACGGCCGGTACGGTACCGTCACATTTACTTCCTTTATATAGGAAAGCAAACGCGTACTGGCTCTGGCTGGCTAGAAGATCTTCGTCGTCCAGATTGGCATGCGTCATACGGTACCGTCACGGGCTCACGGCAGCACGCGTGCATACTGCATGCATGAGGCCCGCCGGGGCAATGGCACTGGCAGGCGACTCTCGCTCTCCCACCAGACGTGTCGGAGCTCCGGTCCATCCGGCTATACCTCATCGCATCAAGTAGCAGCAGTAAACCTGTGGCCTGTGGGCGATTATTCTTTACCATGATGCAGTGCAGCCATGTTCATCCAGTGCAGAGTGCCAGTCTGCCAGAGTGTGGTCTGCTCCGTGACGTTTCTGAGAGACTGAGAGAGACATCGCGCGAGATGATGCCCGCGCATGCAGTGTAGTCCGGCCGCCGGGACGCCAAGTTGGCATGCGGAGCTAGCGAGCCAACGGCAACGCCCGGGCTGGCCGCCGCGCACGAGCGATCCGTAGGTTGAGTGCTGGTGGCCACGGCCGTGTTGGCCCCCGCGCGCGCTAGCCGGGGCCGAGGCCGGTCCGAACACTACTCGTGGCCGTGCACGCTGGGGCGGGTGATCGGGGTCCCAATCTGCATCTGCCGGCGACCTACGACGACGACGACCCTGAAGAGGTCGTTCTCCGTTCGTTCTCGGCCTCGCTGGTGAAAAAGCGACTCCACCACCACATCCACATGGATACGACATGCGTGCAGTGGATCCATGTGACCCTGGGGGTACCCCTTGAACGCTGCGGTTGTTCTGTCTCCGGAAATCCAGAGTTTGTTTAATTCCCCGTCTCTGTCTATTCGATTCGTAACAGAGTCTTCAACTTGCGTCTCTTTGATTATCATCTGCACAATGAGAATCAATCCCAGGTGCTGTTGCTCTGTTCTGCTCATAGCATGCTGTGCCTACTCTGCCGTCTCTGCGATGATACGTACTACTGCCTTGTAATGTTTGCCTCTATATAGGTGTATGTCAGTATGTATACCCAGTTAGTGTGCAACGTTAATGCTAACCAACAACTGGATCAGTCGGAGTACAACACACAATGCACGCATATCCAAACTTAACTAGATGTCAAAAGCTGAACAAATGTTATCCAAAAATGGAAACTAAAAGGCAAACAATCACCTTTGTATTTTACTCTTTTATTTGTTTATTTATCTATATATATGTAGAGTCGTGAACCTACTACGACCTACCCTTAACTGGTAACTCCTGCACCATGCCACAAACTACGGAGAAAAAACTAAGATCAATGTTGGTCATCGTATATAAACAGGGTCGACGCACGACGTACGTGCTGGTACCTGGTAGTGTAGCTAGCTAGCGGTGCGGTGTGGTGAGCCGGTGATCGATGAATCGTCAACGTAACCAGCTCCAGCTCCATGCATGCATGCAATGCAACGACGTACGCGTGCTCGTGGTCGTGGTCAGTAGGAGCACACGACAATGGCCGAAACGGCCAGGCAAACAGCGCGCGCGGAGAGTGACGATGGTCTGCGGATCGATTTCCTCATTTATTTCACAATCGATCGATCACACACACATGCACGTACTGTAGTACTGATGGGTACGACCAGTAGTACGTACAGTAGGAGCAAAGCTAAACAAGAGCAACCAAATAAACAAACAGGAACACATCATCATCATTGTCATGAACCATGCATGTTTTTTTTTTGCCTTGCGCCAAAAAAAAAAAGATTTATTGATCGATGAATCATCAGGATATACATGTTTATATGTATGCATATCTGAATGCATGCTTGATATCGGTACGTACGGTCGCCCATATCAGCTATCTAGCTCTGGCTACCTACAGCTAGCCGGCCATGCCAGTATCTTTGCATGTACAGAAAAAAAAATGATGGTCGTTCACTTGCTGCACTGGCCTAACCATGCATATCTACTTGCAGGAGGCCAGGAAGTGGAACGCATCACAAACAACGTACATGCAGTGCAGCAGAACAGCGGCCAACAGCAAACAATAGCCAGTGAAGCTCTGGACTACGTACAAGCTCCATCCATCCGTCTTCTCCGACTCCGATGATCCGTCCTCTCTCCATCGATCTCTCCTTCTTCTTCTTCTTCTTCGATCGGCTAGCTGTCTCCAATGCCGGGCCGGCCGGGCGTGCGCTAATACAATCCTCCGCGCATGCACCACCACGTACTTGTTCTTCTTCTCTAATAATCTATATTTACACACGCCATTAACGTAACCTTCATCGTAGTTGCTCTCGCCGAGCTAGCTAGCTAGCCAGTAGGTGTAGCTGGTAGCTATAGCTAGCTGTGGGACACACCAATGAATCGAACGAATAGGCGGCGCGCGGGGCATGCAAATAAATGCAACAAGCATGCACGCGGCAGGGGCGCGCGGTGCGTTCACCGGGCGCCGCCGGCGCAGGCGAGCGCGGAGGTGAGGGAGCGGAAGGCGACCTCCTCGCAGGGGAGGACGAGGATGCCGCCGGCGCCGGCGCCCGCGAACCCGAACTCCTCCTCGGCGCGCCGCAGCAGGGACCGGAACTCGGGGCGGTCCAGCAGCGCGATGGGCACCACGAACCGGCGCCGCCGCTCGCCCACGTACACCGCGAAGTGGCCGCGCGGCACGTCGGACGGCAGCCCCATGGCCTCGTCCTCCTCCTCGTTGAAGTCCTCCTCTCCGCTGTGCTGCTGCTGCTGGCGCCGGCCCAGGCTCGAGCACCGCCTCAGGATCTGCTTCAGCCCCGACGCCGCCGCGCCGCCCTTCTTGATTGCCATGTGTGTGTGTTAAGCACGTCGACGACGACCACTGGCGGCCGGGACTTGGACGAACTCGAGAGTGAGCTGGAGGCCGGAGCTGGTGATGGAGCGGGAATGCGGGATCGATGTGGTGGTGGGCGACGGCGAGCTGGAGGGCGGGTGGTATATATAGTGGCGTGGCGGGCAGGAGAGGAGGGGGTGATGGGTGGTGGATCGACGGATGGGTGGGAGAAGGAGAAGAGAGAATTACAGCTAGGTGGCGCATCGTCGATCGGCGCCCATGGTTGGTGGTGGTGCCTGGTGCGTGGTGGGGCGGAGACGTACGGCGACGAGGGAGCGGGGGCACGGCAGGGTGGGGCCGGGCGCCCGTGGGCTTGCCGGGCATGCATATGGTGGGCCCGGCACCACCTGTCTGCAGTCTCCATGTTTTTCACCGACCGTACGTGTACTAGGTGCAATACACGTAGGGTCAAGATGGTACTCATTGGCGCGGTGAATCTAGTAGTGGCTGGCTGTAGTACCGGCCGGATCTTCTCGTGGTGGGTGCCAACCGACTGCCACGAGATTTATCGAATGTATTTTATCGGATAATCGATAAAATAATAACATTCGGTATATCAATATCTTTGTCGAGTGTTTAAAAAAAGATCATTCGGCAAATTAAGAAAAAACACTCGGCAAAACAGAGACACTCGATAAAAAACCACCACGCGAACATTCGTCAATTAGTGTGCCGGCCGTTAGGAGTTTGCCGAGTGTCCGTTAGTGGGACTCGACGAAGAAGTAAGTTTGCCGAGTGTTTTTCTTTA